AAAAATGTTTGCGATCGTCTAAGTCTAGAACAGCGATTTGAACACATTGGCTGCCATCAGCTTCTGCCAGGCTTTAAGGGCTCCTCGGCAAGCCGCAACAAGAACAATCCCTAGACGTAGCAGGGACACAAGGCGGCTGATCTCCTGCCTATGGCTGCCTGCGATGTACTGCCAAGCTTGTTGCCACAAAAAGTCGAGCGAGACCCCCAAAGCCCTGTCAATACTTCGGCGGCCTCCACATGCTGGGCATGAGGCTCGTCTGGTACATTGATTTGACGTCGCAACTGGGCAAGATCAGTTCCGGGCTGCAATTCGGCGATATCAACCGATAGGAAACCCACAGCTGAAGAATTACCGCTCCCTGTAAGCAACCCCCACGTGCCCTCGCGGAAGTGGTCTGATTTGGTTTGAGACTGGAGGCAACACAAGCTTTGTCTGGAGAGGTTTCAAGCAGTCACATCAATACTAACACACAAAATATCAAACAGCTCAAGACTGGAGCTTCGAGAGTGTCGGTACGCCCAAAACAGTGCCCACGCCAAGCAAGTGAACCAAGAACAGGTGTGATTGATTCCAGTCCAAGAATCGAATTTGCTCGTAAGGAGAACAACCACTCGGGCAGCTATGGCGAGCTTCAGGAGAAGCAAAAACTGGATGCCGATGACGACAGCCTGGCTGGACCGCGGCAACTTTGAAGGAACAGGCCTTGCAGCAACTACTGGAACATACCCCTAACAAGCAGCAGGAGCAGGGTACTTCAAGTCACCTGATCTTCTTACGGATCCCTGCTACAGCCAGGGGACCCTCCAGTCACCTCCAGTCCATTCGACTAGCTTTGCATACACATCCCTCTTCAGCTCAATTGCGATCCGAGCAGCCGGACTGAATCCAGCAGTGGCCACACGCACAAGGGAGAACAGCTGGTTGCACGCACAAATGCCAAGAAATGCCTTTGCTGAAGTTTCTGCAGACTCTACTGGATTTGCAGAGCTGGATTCTACAAGAGTGGATGGGGGCACGGCACAACTGTTTTAACACAGGTGGTGAAGCCCCGAACCTGGGCAACAAATGCCGTCAAACCTTCCACCGACACATACCAACACCATGTCTGCCCGCTGCCTAACATTCTTCGTCATAGCGCCGTCACGTGAGCCAGGATGTGAACCGCCGCTGCGAAGTTCACATGCGACCCACGCAGCGGCCAGGTAATCACAGGAATGAGCACCCAGTGCAGAAGAAACCTCAGCAGCAATGGGGGATAACCAGAAAAGGCTTAGTCATATATTCTCGGAGGCAGTGTAGGGCTAGAAACGGTTAAAGTACTCACCGGTTGATCATAAGACGAAGGAGCAGTACAGTGCTCAGCTTCTTCATGTGAAAACCGTTCACGACCTCGGTTGCGAGGTAGAGATTTGTCAAAGCTCAATTGGACGTTACACTGCCTTACACTCTAGAATACTTATAAAACGGCAGTCTGTCTTGATCGCGACAAGTGATACCCGAGCCGGCGACCAGTCCTAGTTCGGCATGTTCGATGGACAGGGCCTCGCATTTGCGGAGCTTGTAAGATCGTATAGGCATCTCCTGGCTCAACCCACCCGATCGACTAGTAAGGCTAGCGGGCCTCGTGGTGACGATGCGTGATACCCTGCATGAACGAACTTCTTTGGGAGAGACCGTAGAGTAGAAGATGACGAACTTACCCTTCCAGGAGCTAGAAGCTGACAAAGCTTCGTGTGCTAAGGGCGTGCTTTCTTACGTAAGATAAGCTGTCACCGCAACCGTCAGGTCTAATCTTGAGACCGAACAGTCCCCCTCAGCCTCGATTCTGCCTGCTTTAACAGTACTTGTATGACAGCGATGCTGGACAACTGCGGCGCTGGCCATGAAGATTGCCATGCAAGAGCTGATGGTCCTTGGCACGCAGGGCTGTAAGCATGAACCGGTTGAAGAAAGAAGAAAGCAACCCCGGCCGGGCCCCAACCCACTTGCCAGGGTAGTTCCACAACTTGTCTTCCCTTCAAGGCACAACTAATCGTTGATGTTTCGCAGGACAGCAACCCTACCCCCCCTTCACACCAAATGGCCTGCAAAATTTGCATCTCGCAGCAGACACACGAAAACTAAAACATCCCAAAATCAAGTGAGGGTCTTCACGCTGTAGCTGCGTACCTGCTGGTGCTCAGCTGGGATTTTGGGTTCGCGCCCCTTGCAGTTCTTACATCTGGACTTTGGTGAATGGGCTCGTGCCAACCCAGTCTTCCCCGGGCAGATCAGACTTTTCCAAATCGCGCCTGTGGATCTGGAGATAGCAGCATCCACAACAGGAACATGTCCCAAGCCAAAGTTGAATAAAAGAAAACCTGGGCACGAGCTTTTTCTGATTGGTTTTTGCGTGTTTCGGCGCCAACCGAACCACAGTTCTTGTCGGTTCAAGAACACATCAGGATATTCCCCTGCATGAGTTCTGAGGGCGTTGAAATCTGTAGATGGCCAAAGCGCAGAGATTCCAAATCCGATTTCCTCCTGAGAGAGTCAGATGCTGACGGGTGTCGCCCTCATTCTGCTTGAGGCGGGTACATACCCTGCACACAGCCAGATCCATATCCTAAACACAGACCATGAACTGCAACCTCTTGAAAGCCCTTGACAAACTCCGAGTCCTGGTTTTGCTTGAGCTGCTTGACATAGAGTGCAGCACCGTCTGCGATCGTAGGGCTTTTGCAGTCAGTTCTTCTGGATCAGTATCGTGATTGGCTTCTCTATCGTGATGCTTCTTATTTCACATGCTGCTTTCAGCTTCCGAACAGTCTGCCAGCTGGCAATCGGGTAGACCTTCTTCACGTCTCCAATGTGGGTGGAATTCAGCTCTCAGATTCGGGGCTGTATGCTTATTACACTCACTGTGCAATGCACCTTGGCCCTGAGCTGCTGTCGTTGTTGGCAACGTCGTGGAAGAGCTGGAAGCATTGTCGCCCCCTGCCATGTGCTGACATGCGCAGGTTACAGCAAGGAAGCCAGGGACGACACAAGGACAATCTGCGAGACAAGCAGACAACGAGACAAAACGCTTCCGCGAGGTTCCTCGCAACAGGATGCGGGGACACCTCTGGCCAGCCCAGAAAGTGCCCCCTTCTTGCCTTGTTGGAAGGGGTTCTCGGCATCTTCCGGACCCAGGGAGCGAGAGGAGAGCGCCGCCTTCCAGCACTCGCTTTGCACATGTTGCACTCTCCCTGGTTCCCTTCCTGCTGACGGCTTTGGCCTGCTCGCTCTCCTCCAAGTGCACCGTGCGCTTGCGGACTTTGTAGACTGCGTCTGACAAAGCTTGCCAGCTCAGCACAGAATCTTCATGCCAGTGCTTTGATGCATTCATATGAAACTTCGGTACCTTGTGTGTCACTGCCTTCAAACTGCAAGCCGAAAACACCCATACTTTTAGATCGGAAGGCATTGGTCTTTCAATTCCAAGAAGTTCGGCACAGCCACTGACAATTGAGGCTGCGGGTCAAAACGTCACCGAAAAACGTCGGGATCGCAATACTCCTCAAATTGTCAAGACTGCCACCCTTTACGCTCTCACGACACAGACAAACCAACCAACCACCATTAAGGATTTTCGGCGATTCTCAAAGGGGACAAGCACCGCAATTTCAGGGGCTGCAGTGCCGTTTGCAATTGTGGAACCTGGGGGAGAGCATTGAGCAACTTTCTCAAGCCGTTGTTTTTCCCTCTCAAGAGAGGCCTTGCCTAAAAATGGGACGCGGGGATCTGGATTTGTTCAACTGCGTAACAGAAGGCAGTGAACGACAATCAATTAATTTACAAAGCCAAGGCGAGCTGAATTTGCATACAGCCGTACACAGCGCGCCAACTTGACAAGAGACTGCTCGTTTGGTGGTGCGCACACTCGCGAAAACGTGCCACACAAATCTCTGCAGATCCCGAGGGAGCAATGCAGGCCTAAGAATACCAAAAAACAACGAGTCCATGTTAAGCACATGGTGCAAACGTGAACTTGCCGGCTAGTCGATTATCCTTTTCTGGCAGCCGGACCTTCCCCAAGAGACATGGTCTTGAAGACTTGAAGGTCCTCTGTTCTGTTCTTGCTGCGGGGCTTGAGGGCCCCATCCATCTCTGCTGGGTGTTCACGTGTTGCTTGGAGTGTTAGCCCCTCGAGCACCCCAACTCGAGTGTCACTGCTACTGTGTTACTGCAGAGCTCGTCCTCGCCTCCCTTGTTTCGGCACCCTCTGACTCTGTCTGCCATCACTGTAGTTTGTGGACCACTGCTACAACGTCAGGGTCGGTAGAACATACACAGATGCCCAGCACGATGCAGCCTTCAGAGTGGTCTGTCTGCTGATCCACTGCGTCCAAGCCCTGCGTGCCATGTTGCTTGGCAAAGCATAGCAACTGGTTCACTCTGACGCCTACGTCTCTCAAGCACTGCTTTGCAATTAATGCAACGGCTTACATTGCTATGGCGATGCGTCAAGATCTCTGCCGCGGCTGCGCCTTCAAGCTGCCATTGCTGCTGTCCCGCAGAGCTGCGACAAGTGGAATACCGCAGAGCCATGCACGGATTGGCCACGGAGCCATGGCACTGCGCCGAAGCCGAGATTCTTTGGACCCACGGAACTTTTCGCGGATTTCTGTGGGCTCTGTATCAATTAAAGTACCTGTTGGGGGGCCAGCTGGGTCGTGGGGTCAAAATAGAGATAGTGCCCCCAGTCCTTGCTGCAACCTTCGAGCAACCAAACACTACACCCACTGCCCCGGGGATTTTCATGGAAGGAAGAGTTAAGCAGACAACCTCCAGTTTGATCCCAGAGTCGCAGATGGCCCGATCTCAGCCACATGGTACAGTAGGTTCTCTCCAGGCTATAAGAAGCGCTGTTCCCACATCGTGAACATTTCAGGAAAGGGTCTTTGTTGTTATAAGCTGCCCTGGCAGGACCGAGGTGCAGCGGCCGAAAAGCCGACAGCGCGCAAGCAGACCGCCTCCTCCTTGGGGCGCTTGGCTGCCGGCTCCTCGATAAAATACTCGACTCGCTGCTTGTGCACGAACAACCTAACGTAACCCCATAAAGAGAACGTTTCTGAGCGCTGTGTTGTTTGCTTGCGGCCTGCAGAATGTGCCACTTCAAGGGCCACTGGCTCTTCATTGGCAACAAGACTGAGCTGATAGATGATGCGACGATTGGATTGGAATCTTGGCCAAGAGATTTGAAGCACTGCGCCACTGCTGTCTGCTGTCTAAAGTTCTGTGCATCGGAGACAATCGCTCAAGAAACACCTGAGAGTCCTGCCCCTGGATCAGATGCACCCGCGCTACCAAGCTTGGTTAACGGTTGGTGGCGAGCCACCAATGAAAACCTAAAACATTGCAGCCCGGCACCTCCAGGTTTTCCGGGCGCACTGCAGCTGGTACCTCTTCTTGACCACCAGCAAAACAAGTTGGGAGAAAAAGATAGTGCATGACAGTGGAAGCCTTGCTGAGACCGAAGGTCCAAAACAACACGGGAGCACCACTACTAAGTTACTACAACGTGATGCAAGCCTTGCAAATCCTATCATGATCACACTTGGTTTGCATCGGCCATTGCATGCCATCCACTGTGCACCTCGCCGAGAACGGCTGGACAGACTGGAGCTGGAACCTGCCCACGACTCCGGGCTTCTGCGGGTTTTTGCACTCTGCTTTTTGCAGTGTCTGTCGCCAGCCAGTCGCCAGTGACGGCATGCGGCACCTCGTCCAGAACGTCTGGCCGCGTCAGGGCTGGCACCTCCATGGCCAGGCCCACTGAAACTCTGGATGCCCAGTCGCTGCGCTTGAGGACCCCGATTCCAGAAATGCCTGCTACAGATTCCTGCGATGCGATCTGAGTGGAGCTCAATAAATGCGTTCAACCCTTAATGATATTGCCGGTAAGCATGCAGGCGCAAACCTCGTCCAGAACGTCTGGCCGCATCAACTCTGGAACCTGGTTCAGGGGAGGGGGTTCACGTCGGCATGTGACATGCGTCGAGGCGAGCGCAGGCCAAAATCCGATCTGTCCAGCATGCAACTCGTGCCCTCTTCGCAGCTTGCAGCACTGACTGCGCGGCTTATGCTTGCCATGTTGCAACAGGCCTCGTCCAGAACTTCTGGGTGCACGGGCGCTGGCACCTGAACACAACTGACAGAGAAATCGCATTTGGCCCTCGCAAATGCCAGTCGAAAGAGTCTGCATAGAACTGCAAGAGCACAGCAACAACTTCTAGCAGTGCTGAGCCTGCTAAGCAGTCGGCTTGTGCTCTACAAGTAGCTACGGCGTCCGCAGAGAAATCTTTCCCAAGAGACCCAAACCTCGTCCAGAACTTCCGGTCGAACCAGTGCAGGCACCTCCATCACGCTGCGAGAATGCAGGACGAGAATGCAACATCCGAATATCCGAATATGATTCCAAATCAGGCGCAAGCTGGGAGGCTTAGATGCATCAATCCCTCACCAATGCCCCCACACCCCCCCCTTGTGACCCCCCCCCTCCTGTCTTCTGGACCCATTCACCCCTCTCCGCCTCCCTACCTCTGCCAATGGCGCCTTGAAGATACAGCTGAGCAATTCGTCGGCCCTCTTCGCCGGGGCCGAGGCGGACCACGCGAAGCATTTACAATCTGCCGATGGAAGAAGCAATGGTACCGACGAAGACCCCAGATAGCAGGGCATCAGTGTAAGACGATGTAAACCACCTGCTGTAAGACGATGTAAACCATATCTGCGACACGTCAAACACTCAACAAGATAGCGTGCTTATGCAAACGTGTGCCGAGCATCTTCGCATCTGACACACATTGGGTTCTAGCAAGAATCCAAGAACCAAAGAGATTCAATAAGTTCCCAACTCACATCCAAAAACAAGGACACAAGGGGCGAGAGAAGCGAGACGCGAACCGTCCACCAGAATTGGGTTTATGCAAAGCATCAGCAAGGAGTTACTGTAACATCCCATGAGACCTAGGCGCGCAGAATTTCGGGCACCATGGCAGATGTGCCAAAATGTCCGAAAGGAAGACATTTCAACTGAGCTCACCAAGTGAGGGATTGCATGGATAGTTCCAAAAAGTCAAACAGGGTACCACAGACATCGGAATTTGCTCTGCACTGCATTCGAAACCGCTTCATCCATATCCAAGCGGGGCTATGCTGAACACTTGCATATTGCCCCGGCCGAAAACGTGAATGAAGTGTGACTTCGGTCTGAGAACGCAAGTCTAGTTCTGGTTGCACGCCACTTGCGTGCCACTTGCACCCCCAAGCTGCATGCCACCGGAATGGCCCGGGCCGCACAACTGCCGGCGCACACCTGCGGAAGCCTTCCTGGCAGCCCGGCTAGCTAAACTTATCAAGCTTTTCCGCAGAAAGCATTGGCCAGCTCCGTTGCTGCTGCGCCTCGTCAGCAGCCGAAGTCGCAGACTCCTGTCCAAAGAAGACAGATTTGGCCCTCGACCCGCAGGTTACACGCTACATGTCATCTCATGCTCGAGTTTGAAGTTTTCACATTGAGCAGCTGACACAGCAAAAAAGGGCATGCATTCATCTTGTAAGTATCAGTCGAAGGATGACTTCCAACCCCAACCATAGAGGCTGCTACATGCTCGGGACTTTGGGACTGCGTCTATCGGCATGTCCGCGTACATACGTGTGAGCGTCGAAGCTCGGCTTGTGCACACGAACATCAGGCTCCGAGCCTTGCATGTGGCAAGAGGCACTTCAGGCACCTCACAGACTTTGTGGGCTGGCGGGCTGGCCGGCTTGCCTCCTTCTCGACCGTCTCCAAGTTGATCCGACGCCTCCGACGAAGCAGATAAAGAGCAAAGGTCACGCTGAGTCATGCTGGTTGACTAATTGAAGTCGGGAGAAACATTCAACCCTGCATCCCGATACGTCAACACCAACGCCCCCCAAAAAATGCCACAAAAACATCATGTGAGCAATAGTAGCTTGCACTGCCTGGACTGTAGATGCATGAATGTTACCGACCCAATCAAGCCCCGATGCGGAACGGCCCAACCCTGAGCGAAGTCTTCCCGCTCGGCAATCCGTCCGATTTACGCCAAGATTTGCCCTTTCAGCAACTTGCTTCAAACAGCTTTGCAAATCGCACCTGGAAGAGTCTTTGCCTGCAGTGGGACATGCCGTTACTACTCTTCATGACATCAGCTCTGCATGCTTGGCCAGTCCGGCGCAGTGCCCAAGCCTCCTTTACCTTTGCTCTTCTTTTCTTCGCCTACCAAAGCAAAGCAGGACTGCACTCGTTTACAGTGGGTCGAAAATGTCACCCAACTAAAGCCCAGCTGGCGAACTGGATGCATAACTACCACTACGGCGACGACGACGACTACCACCACCACGCTTTTGATTATCTGATTGTCGCCCTCTGCAGAAGTGTATGCTGCACGAAGCCTTTGCTTTTGCCTTTGTCTTGCGGCTTCTCCTTGCCTTTGCTCAACCTTAGCCAAGCAGCAATCGCGAGAGCGAAGCTTGCCAAGGCGATGAGTAGTGGAGTCCAACAATGTTTGGGCACCGGGTGGAATGCAGTTATCAAGTAGGGCGCGGGCCCTTTATTAGCTCCTTTTTCAATCTCGTCCTGCATGACCGAAATGGGAAGTCACGGGTAAGGGTCCAATGTCACGCACTCGCACTGCAAACGGCGACAACTGGGTGCGCCTTGCTCTTCTTCTTCTGGCTTATGGCCTTCATAGTCTGATCATGTGTTGCGAGGTCGAAAGTAATTATTCCGTGCGAGTGTCTGCACCGCATTGTTTAAGCACTGCAAAACTAACCAGCCGAATCTTCACCAAGATTGCCATGTCAGTTCCTCGTGTCCTACCTGGCAACGTGCAGACAAGGCTGGACAGCGCACCCGCGTGCTCTTCGATACGACGATCTCCCGCCCACCGAGGAGACTGTCTGAAAACCTTACCGGCCGGTGGAGCAATTCTGTCTGAAAGCCTGACCGGGTGCTGAAGGAATGGACTTATTTGGAATGTTTCAGCCAGCAGGAAGAGAGTTGGTAGCAAGATTCCAGCGGTGGGATTTGTTACAGGTTTTGCATGGATGGGTGCCGTGGTTCTGCAGGGTGCTCACATTCTGCATCTGTGGCCCTTGCGGCGAAGGTGACCCTGACTCAGCTCGGTCAGTGAAACCTGCTGCTCCGTGAGCAGCCACTCTAGTCAAGTTACGCGTCGGAAGCCGCAAGTCCGACTGTCGGATTGTGCGGAATCGGCCCCGCGGCATCGTGACACCGGGCAGTGCTGATCCGGTCAAGCAAGCCTCTCTTGAACTGAGAAGCCGACCACCCAAACCGTCTGAGTGGCTGACATGAGGGCTGTTTGCGCATCAGATTCCTGACTTACCGCAGACGAGCAGGCCCTTAATGCCCCCCATACTTTCCCAGGTTGGCAGGTCCTCCTGGAATTCGACAAAGCCAAAGCCCCGAGACCGGCCCATGTCGTTGCGGACAACGACAACCTTCCCAGATCGATTGCAATTTGCTCTCAGTGAGGAGCGCCGCATGAAAACGGCGTGAACAGCTCCAGCACGTGCGGTTCAAGCAAGCCAAATTTGACAACGCCCGTTCGAAAGCCTATGCCAGCAACTTGCACTGATCCTTTTTCTGACTGCGGTCTACGGCACAGCTTTCCCAGGATGGCTCGACATCCTGAAGTATTGTGATGCTGAAACTGGCTGTGTCACCCGATTCAAGCTGTCCAACATGCGCTCCGGCATCCAGGTAACAGTGTTAAACGCTGGAGCCGCTGGAATGTCCAAGCCTACTTCAGTGTTTGGGCACGGATGACTGCCAGGAATCAACGCTATGGTCGGGTCAGAATGCCCGGTGAGACCAGATTGGCTCTCGGGAACATGGAATTGGACCTCGCGGGCGGCGCCTCGAATTTGCCTCCTGCGCCTCGCTGACGGCAGCGGCAGTTCGCAGTCGCGCCGCCAATCTGCCCAGACGCGGGGGACCCAGAAATCTCGCGATTCCCACGGTGCATCCACGTCTTGTGGCTCTTGCTCTGGCCGTCTTGGGAAGCCAAAAACAAAACTATATCTGAGCTGAGTTCGCTGCATGCTACATTGCAGTAATTATTCAGTAATCACTATGATCAGCAGCTACTGGTCGAACAACTTGTTTGTGTATCTCAACACGTCGAGAGATGATTGCCGACGCTGGGAATCTCACCTGTAAAGTGAAACTACAAGCAGGGTCCACTCCTGCAAGGTTGTGAACCGTGCAGCAAGTGCACTGTCAGCATCGCCCGGGATTCGTCCAATAGGATTGCTGAAGCTACGTAAGAGGCAATCGAGAAATGTGCAGGACGAGTCCGGGGGTGTGCTTCGACGAAAAATCATATGTTACCCATCGTCCGCGCCTCTCGGATTGACGGCACCAGCCAGCCCCCACTCAAGGGCTGGATGGCCAAAGGAAACCACGGGACCGATCTGTCAAGATTACGTGCTGCTTTAGGACCAGAAGGAATGCCGGGCCTGGTGCTGTCATGAAGTCACTGCATGGGGTTCTCCTGCGGAGGTCCTTCAGAAGTGTCCATCATCTCCAGGCCCCTGCCAATTTTCCAATTCGTTTCTGAATCCGCTGATGCTTCACTCGGACCGGCTTCGCACACCATCATCGAATCGCACTGCACGTCACAGAGTCACAGGCCAAACACATCTACGAAGCCGGGCTGATCTGAGCTTGATGTGCTAGCACCCGTACCTTGACCCACGAAGCCGGCCCTATACACCTACGGACTCGGGTGGCCTCTTCTGGCCATGCGGTTGGGCTTGGAATGCCTCAGGCGAACGCTTCAGCGTGCATTCACAGACTCAACCCACCCAGTGTGACCCTGAAGGCTGAATCCCGCTCGCCTGGAGCATGCCGCTGTTGACCTGGAGCTGAACCTCCAGGATGGTGCTCGATCTTTGGCTGTGTCAATGAACACTAGAGCACTAGAGTCGACAGCTTCTTGCATCTCACATCTGTAGTCAGTCATCAGGTATTTTTGCTCCTGTGCGAACAGTTGGTCCTGTCTACCTCTTCACCCGTGTGAGGTATTATGATAAGATGAAGTGTTTCAATGACGTAGGACGTCCCAGATGATCCCTATGCATCCCTATGCCCTATGCACACCTTACTTCCCACACGCAAGCTGCAGAAGAGCTTGAGATCTCCGAGTGCCGGGCTCTATGAAGCATCTCATACTCCCTCGGATGCGGCTGGAAGTCCGAACATGTCGCGACGACAGGCTACCAAGCAAGTTTCTCCACTCCAATGTTTTAAACTGAATTGAGTCTCGGCAGTTTCACAACGGATGGGAACATGCAATGCTTGGCAGCAAATGGAAGATTCTGAACCGGCTCAGTCCATCTTGCCCAGCCGCCGGATTTGGTTCCGGAAACCCTCGTTGATGGAGATGCAGTGGCGCCGAGTGAGCACATAAGTGTGTGCCTGTTTGGCTTGAACCCCCGAGCTTGCACTTGCGCTGCAGCCAGAACTGACCTCAAACCGTCTCAAACCTTGCCTTACAGGAAGGAGCTGCTTCACAGACGTCCTTACGGCTACATAACCGCAGCTGGCCGTGGGCCCAGCCTGGTCGGAAGGAAGGTTGAACTTCTCCATCACATACCTTTGATTCACGGGCCCCCGCTCTCCAAAGGCTCCGAAATGCGGAGGTCCCGGCGGTCCCGGTTCTGAGCTCTCCGAGTAGGCATCTAAAAAGCGCGGGCAGGCTGCCGGTCGATCGTGACTGTCATGGTATTTGAGAATCACCATGCGGAAAAATCAAACATATCACAACCCCACGCAGTGCAGCTGGCTGCATCTGCGGCTTCTTGCTGCTACCCCCTCCCTCATCGAAACGGACGGGCTGTTGCATGCCCTTGTAGCAGGCAAGATGCGCGACCACTAGTGCAGCAGAACGCGACATGCCTCCCACGGTTCTCACGAGCAGGTTTGAAAAATGCCACGACGAGACATGTTTCACAAGAGCCTGCATTTCCATGAACAAGAATTCGACCGCCTCTGGCCAAGACCGCATCCTCAGCCACAACGAGTGCAGCTTGAAACGAGAACAAGTGCAGACGAGAAATTGAGTCAGTGCCACGGCACATACCAGTGCTCGTCATGCCAGGGAGGAGCTCTGCCAGTCTGTTAAGCCAGGAGTCTAGAAGCAGCTTGACATCTGCGAAGAATCGAATGATGTTCTCGAAGGGGCTGTCACCTTGCACACGTGAAGACTCAAGACTCGTCTCTCGTCAGCTTCCACATGCACGACTCTGACTCTTTGCAGCTGAGACACGGCACTCCAGAACCTGACTACGAAGCTGCTAGCCGCTAGCCCATGGTAGACTGGCATGGCTTGCTGCATGTGCTGGTTATCCGAATGTTTTGGCGTTTCGCTCAGTAGCCTGGCGCCACTCAGTCGTAGACATCCTGACTTCTACCCCGACGCTGATACCCCAGTCTAAGTCTACCCGCACGCTGAAGGCCGGGAAGAAAGATTTTGGACCCGTAGTTGCATTGGGGTCCCAGCTGTGCAAGAACAAAGAGCCAAGCACCTCGTAGTGGATGAATTCCGGATACTTCGGACATATGATTCCTGAAGGACACCAGCCGTTTCACATGCTGCAATTGTCCAACTCACGGACAATAGTGTACAAGTCCCGTTTGGGGCAGACCTTGCATATCTGCAGCGATGCGTCTGGCTTCCTCCGGTGCTCGGACGACCAGGGCATCCGTTATGTTTACTCGCTTCAAGAACTCCTGCCATGGCTGATGCTCTGCTCTTGTCTCGCCAGCATTTCGAGCTGCCCAAAGCTCCTGGTCTCGAGCAGAGCCAAAGGGCCCCAGCCAGAGTCCGGGAATGATCTCTTGTGCCTCCCGCCTCAGGGGTTTAGGGAAAAAGTTCAGGCTTCGTGACGAAACGGTCAGCCACACATGATGACTCTATGCAAAGGATTCAACATGCTCTTCAGCCAGATAGCTTCTTGGCATACACCCAGTCGGTGTCTGGCGGTAGCAGTCCCTGCACACCGGAAAGTGCAGTCGAATACATGCTGCACCTGCCAGGGTTGTGAGAAGAAGGGGGAAGTCTTCTCTCCGTTCTTCTGCATCTACTGCAAGCCACGCCTGAGAGGTGCATGCCGCTGCTAGGCCATGCGCGGCGAGACAGGGCACGTGGCCGAGACCCTGCTTAACAGCTGCGGAAAGCGGCTTCAGTGGGCAGTGCCGACATCATCCCATCGGACTGTTGAAGCCTTTGTTGGAGAAGCACTACCACCGCACCAAAGGCGCTCCAGATTGCGACTCAACCCGCTTATTTGAGACCACTCGTCCACAATGTGTTTTTGAAATGCTCCTTGTGGGCGGCCAACCTGCGAGACCGGCCCGCATTGTTGGAAGTGTTCTGTCAGCTGCGCTTCATCCACCTTATGCACCAACATGAGTCGAGCCACGAAACACTTGCAGAGTTTCGTGTCCTTCGGAACTCTCTCTTTCGACAGGCCTCTCCCCAGGGACCTGCTCTGGCACTTTCTGTTGTCAGATGAGCTTTGAGCGTCGATGGCTAGCGAAGCACAGCAGAGGCTGGCAAAGCAGCGCAACATCGAAGGGAAGGGACGTCAAAACAGTGTCACCCATGAATTGCACAGCAGGAGCATCAGTACAAACTACAGCTCTCGCAAGTAATATCGAACAGGCACCGCCGCTGCGGTTGTCGCTCCCACATCTAGGGCGAATGCGCTGAAGGCCAGGTTGTTCACATGCACTGTTGTTGGGCCTCGGATAGGAGCACAGAAGCACTAGAAGCCATCTTGCGCTCTGAATGGCCTGCGGCCTGCTGTGAAAGGCAAAAAGCCCGAGTAGGTGTCGCACATTTCGAAGATTGCTTCACCGGATCCTCTCTTTCAATTCGACCTGCCCAGGAGAGACGGGCCAGGGCACAAGGCCTGGTCTGCTTCTGACCAGCCTTGAACAATATTTCTCTGGTTTACCCGCTGAGGAAGGTCTTTTCTTGTTGCCGCTGTGGTGTGACGGTGGTCCTTCAAAGCGCGCACTGCGGCTGTGCCCTCTGCAGTTCAGCCAGTCCTTCATTGGTATAGACCGGGAGAGCACCACGACCTTGGCACCACAATGCGATCCTTTCTTGGGAACTCTTGAAGTAAGTAGAAGCGCGTGTGTGGTGTTGTGTTGTGTTGTGTTGTGTTGTGTTGTGTTGTGTTGAGTTGAGTTGAGTTGAGTTGAGTTGAGTTGAGTTGTGCCGTGGCTGCGCAGTGGCTGTGCCATGGCTGCGCTGTGGCTGTGGCATGGCGTGTGGCGAGTGGCGAGTGGCGTGTGGCGTGTGGCGTGTGACGCGTGGAGTGTGGCGTATGGGCGTATGGTGCGTTGAGCGTGGCGCGTGGCGTTGTGGTGTGGCATTGTGGAGTTGTGTTGTGCTGTGTTGTGCTGTTTTGTGTTGTGATCTGAGACCCGGGGGGGGGGGGGGGCAAAGAAAGTTGTGGCTTGTCGGAGGTGCGTGAGGTGCAGAGCTGAACGCACGTGATCGTTGTGTAGACGTGATGCTTGTCCCAGGAAGCAAACAACCCCGTTTTCGTGAGGCCTACCCTACACCGGAGGGGTTAATCTGGCAGAACAAGTTCTGGCTATGGAAACGAAAGGCTCTCTGGGGGAAGCTTTCGTGACTTGCGGTGCGTTGTGGTGTCGTGTTGTGTTGTGCTATGTTGTGTTGTTTTGTGTTGCGTGGCGTGGCGTGGCGTGGGGTGGCGGAGTGTGCGTGTCTGCATGTAGGTAGGGAGGGTAGGCAGGTAGCCTCAGGGGCCAACCTGGCCCCCTATTTCCATCGGCTTCTCGCAAGCCAGGGCCGCCTCATGAAAGCGTACCAAACACGCAAACACTAGATCAATAGAAGCTCTGTGGACTGTTGCAAGGTAAGCGCTGCCTTCACTGTTTCATCGGATGCAAACTCCACATACGCGTAGCCTGCGCAAGCAATCACACTTTTGACTGCAAGAGTTTGCAAGAGCAGCATCACCCGTTGCATTAACTCCTCCAGGCCCCAGGGCCACTGTGGGAAACATGCAGGGGAGTCATACTCCTCTAGCCTAGCAACTTCGCAAAGCTCGAGCGCGGCTGGAACTCAAAGAGCGAATGTTCCAACAGCCAAAGCCAGGGGCCCACCTTTGTGAGCCTTGCCTTCCTCCGAGACAAGAAGTCGATCAGACTCACAATGCTAGAATCTGCCCAATTTGGCGGACATGTGCAAGAACGCAAATACAACAAGCTGCAGGCTTACCCTTCAGAATCGGAAGCGACAACACATCTTACTCGGTTCTTCCGAGGAAAGATCACCGACCAACACACTTTTACTCGAAGACCAGGCCCTGAAGTTTTCTTGCTCTGGTCCTGGCTGTTGTCTCGTGGAATCCGCACGCTAGCAACCTGCGTGTTCTCATGCTCAGGCTTAGGACAGAAGTCACGCCGTGGACCGCCGGTCATGATCAAGAACAGCTGATCCACAAGGTGTAAGCCGTTGACTTCCGGGCCTCCCCCTGCGCGCTAAAGGCGCTTTTGATGTCATCCTCGCTCGCAGCAGCACCTTGCATGTCGCACTATGCGATTATCAAGTCCAGGTATCTTGTGCCTCCTTCAACAAGCAAGCAAGGCTGCTGCGAGCGTGTTCCACCAGCTGCTGAGGCATGCGCCGATGTTTTTGACGAAAAGAACCTTCTCCTGGCAGGGATGGACAAAGAAAAACACGCGGGCGATTTCGTGCTCTTCCGCCTTACTCAAGACAAGCTACTGAGCAGCTACTGCAGCTTCGGCCCGGCGGCAAGCCTCGTACAGTCTCTTTGTTGGCAGCGAGCGAGCCACCCTCATAACCTCACTCAGGCTCGAATCCCCGACAAGCGGCCTGCCGGAAAAGTTGCTGGTGTGACTATGCCAAGCCTTCGGGGTTGTATCAAAAAATCGTGTGCTAAACATGTTCAACCTTTCTAGCATTTTTTGGGCAGCACAATCACTCTGAGCTCAAAGCCTGGTCGTCCTATGTTCTTTGTTGTTGTTTGACCCGGTTTGGCACAACAGCGTGGAACAGCCTACCTTTCAGCATCATCATCATCATCATAGAAGTAGTAGTGGAGTGGTGGCAGTGGTGGCAGTGCTGGTGGTAGGGGGGGTGGCTAATTTTGGCTCCCACTTGTGGGCATCCGGCGGGTGGCTAGTAGTAGTAGTAGTAGTAGTAGTAGTAGTAGTAGCAGCAGCAGCAGCAGGAGTAGTAGTAGTAGTAGTAGTCGTAGTAGTAGTAGTAGTAGTAGTAGTAGTAGTAGTAGTAGAGTAGCAGTAGTACTTGTAGTAGGTAGCGCCAGTAGCTGTATCTACGGTGGTGGTAACCGTGGAGGTCGTGGCAGCAGTGGCCATAGCAACGCCGCTCGCAGAGTCTTGCAAAGCAAGATGGCCATGGCTTCGCGAAGCCACTCTCGTGAACCCACGTTGCAGCTTTTTGTTATCGTTGAGCAATCCTTCGAATAACAAACCTGTAACACAATGGTTGTCCACATCGCCACAGCAGCTTGTCCCCAGTAGAACGGACCGACTTCGACACAAAGCATGGCTGAGCTGAGGATTGTTGTCAACGATGCAGGCAACTGCTTTCATAAATCATACATGCCGGGTTTGTGCAACCCGGTTGGTTTGGCACTAACGTAATGCTTCCCTGAGTTCCCCACGCGCTTGTTGACCTGCTGACCTGGGAATCAGCAGAAGAGCGTGCACAACATCTAGATAAGCACAAGTGTCAGGGCTGCACAGCTATCGGCAACTTGGAAAACACCAAAAGCGCGGTACACTGTAGGATCGCCATCAGGTTGATGGGCACCACGCTGGCTTCCAAAACTCGCAAACAACTAATGGGCTAGCCGCGGCTAGCCCGGGACAAGGTTACGTGACTGCCCCGAGAATCAGGCGAACATGGTTCGCTAACATGTCCAGCAGGTGAGAAAGCCGGAAAGGGACATCATCCGAGAAGCAAGAACGAGAGCCGGTCAAAAACAAGTCCTCAGCAAGCCTTCCGAGCAGACCTCCTTACCGACTGCCTAACCAAACCGAGCCGCCTAGCCGGCCCTTGCCCCGACTTTAATCTTGTCTTCACCTCAACCCAGGCCGCTCTGTGCCCAGGCAACCTGCCACCCTATCACAGAGCCAGAATGAAGGGCGGTTTGCATGCTTCCAGTCAGCTACCCTGTGGTGTGTGAAAACCAGAACCAGAAAACAGCTGCTGGCAGCGAATTGCTCGAGGCAGCAGCCGTTGAATTTCTCCACCGCTTCTCCCACGTGCGCGGATGAGTCGAAGTCTATGTATGCATAGCCTCTCGCGATGAATTCTGTTTTTGACTGCCCACGATTGCATCAAGCCTGCCTGTGCGAAGCAGTCGCTTACCAAGCTAATCCACACATGTTGTGCGCAGCCTTTGGACCTCTTCAAGAAGTCGCGCACCAGCCGCACATCTTTTAGCCTGCCATGTCGACAAAGCGCAGCATTGCCAAGCTCTCAATGTTGAAATGCTTGATGGAGGAGCCGGGTCCAATGACACTACGTGGCACAGTCTCGGAAGAAAGCCATTCGTTTGGAAGCGCCCTGTCCAACATGCCGGTGCGGCCCGTCAACCTTGACAATGCAAGAGCCGGAGATTAAGAGCAAGACCGGGAAAGCCCACACACACACAAACACACCCACCCAGGCAGGATCAGTGGCGGTCACGTACTTTGTCTTCTGCCCACGCGTGAACACTGTGTGGCAGCTCAGGCATCCTGCAAGCAAGCTTGCACAGGCCGGCAAAGCTTTCGTGTGTCCATGTCAGACCGCTTCCAGCACCCTTGTGCCAGATGCGGCCACCAAAAGAGTTCGCTTTGCAATCCGAAGGCGAAGCCATCACACTCGAGCAACAAGAGAGCTGCAGAAGTAAAGTCAGTAGATCTGTCGGTGCTCCTGTGAAGGCCACTGTCCTTCTGGGCTCCACGGTTGACATGGAGAACTTTGCTGGAAAGTCTGCGCGTCGGAACTGCCTGTCCAATGATATCAAGCGGGAATCCGTGACGTCTCCTGCTCGGAGAGCGACACACTAAGACTGCGAAGCATCGACGTGCAAGTATCGTTCTTACCTTACCCACTGCTATTTCGAAATGTCCTGAAGCCACCCTGCAGCGCACATCGATGCAACTGTAGTGCCGTGCCATCAGAAGCACCTAAGGTGCTTCCGAAGCTTGCAAAGCCTTGCCATGTTTGCTTCGTCCCATTCGGGGTGGCTGGCAGTGCCATCTGATTTCAACAGCCTCCCAACTGTTTTCGCTTGATTGCACGCGCTGCAACCCGTATGGAACCCCCAGTTCCCGTGAAAGTAAAGCTGGGGAGAACGAGCAGCCAAGGCAGGACGAATTCTGTTAAAGCCATGCACGCAACGGCTAAACGCACTTCTTGTGAGCGATGCCTTGATCGAGAGGCGCAATCCAACAAAAGCGTGCAGATTATCATGCGACGGCGACCTGGCGCATCATTAGCCGCTGTAAAGACCTTGTAGGGGTCATCACCCTGAATCTGCACACCTTTTAACGCCTGCTCGACCCACATGGGTGCAAGCCGCGCAGAACTCTTACGTGATGCGTATCTCTGAACTTCCAACCCTCTAACCCACAGCGCGCAGTTCTGGAGTTACAAGCCGCGGATCCATCCATGTGGTATTTCAAAGCAGAGAAAAACAAGGTATTGTTCGCTGACTGCAGATAACCCAACCGACAAGACGCGCGAAGAAACATGCACGTCGGCAAGCGGTTGTCTATTGGGGATTTAGAGCCGTAGCATTGCTTGGGCTTGGGATGGTTGGGACATCGTCTGTCCTCGGCGACACACGACGGCACAAGATCGTGCAGGACATCAGTCATCCTCATCACTTTGCAACGAAAGGTCGATGTCCGTCGGGCTGCCATGCGATTCCTTGCATCTGGTCTCTTTGTGTCACATCTTGCAAACAACATGGAACGACCTATCAGTTGGGAGCTGTGGAATGCCAGTGCATGTACTTGATTGGGAGAACCAACGTCGTGCCCTGGATCCGACAGGTATCGCTGTTGGTGGATTGCTTGAATGGGGAGTGGGAGTTACACCTCAGGAGGGTGAGTAGCGCAAGGACCAGGAGCTCCCTGTTAGCCGGGGCCAATGGCTACAGTTACTGCCAGCGTCACCACCACGAACTCCAAACTCACGCCCTCACAGCATGGGCGCCGGCGGTTTAGCAGCGCGACAGGGCTGTCATGTGCTATCGTGATGCCGTTCTGGATCCTGCACTGCTATGTAATGTAATGTCATACAGTAATGCATGGCAATTCCATGCAATGCGATGCAGCGCAATGCAATGCTGTGTAATGTAGTGTGTGGCATACTGAAATTCTTTCTGGGGATCAAGGTTGTTCAGCACCAGTCGGCCATAGCGCGAGGCACGCAGCTCCTGCAATGTGCAAGGCTTTCCGCACGAACTTCACGCCTGCCACAACCGGCTGCAAGCATGATGTGACCGAAAACGGAGACAAAGCGAGATCCATGCATGGCCAAGAAATGCTTCCACCGTGTTGCTCCTATGCCATGCTTGCATGGACGACTTGATTTCAGCTGTGCTACTGACCGCATCAAGTCGCCCTTTGGAACATGTTCTTTCACTCTCTCCATTTGCAGGCGACTTTGTCCTCCGAATGTGCCGCCACTTCTCTGCAAAGCTCCACTTTCTGCGGCTCCGGCAAGTAGTTAACCACCAGTTGCCTGGGACAGTCTGTGCTCTGAAGGGCAGCTTGAGCGCCCGGAACCGAATCTCAGCCTAAGAGGAGCCATGAAGGCTAAGCCCGTGGCGCAACGGCATGGCCATAGCGGCTCCTGCTGCATTGTCGAACCAATTTTGAAGTCTCTTGAATCTGTTTTTTGCCAACTGACTGCCCTGTACCTCGCAGGGAACCGGCCAACAAAGCCCGCCGAAGAGACCTGCCTGAGCCTTGTTATGCCTTTTACGAGGCCTTGCGTGCGCAAAAACACCAACACACACACACACACACACACACACAGACACACACACACAGACACACCCGCGCACACACACACACACACGCACACGCGCACACACACACACACACACACAGACACACACATGTGCACACAAACACACACAGCCACACACACGCGCGCACAAACACAGGCAACTGCGTAAAATAGATGTCCGATGCATCTGACCGACGATTAAAGTCCCTGGCCAAGGCCGTCTTGGATGGAATTTGCTGGCCTGGCGATAGAGAGAATGAGGCCTGGTTCCAGGTTCAAGGCCAAAGCCAGCTGCACTCGTTCCTGCAAGTCGATTGGAAGCTTCCAGACTACAGGACAAAGTAGAAGCGAAACTGCAGACGCCAACGGCAACTCGGACAGCAATTGACAGCTGGTCCTCTTGAGATCCATTCGCCAGAGCCTTGAGAAGCACTGCCACACCGTTGGAGTCCGATCCAATGAGGGCAACCTGGGCAATTCGCAATCACTGGTCAGAGCCATCACATCTCTAAAAGAAGTGTCCCCCCCGCTCTAACTCGCATGTTTTCCGTGCCAATACGATTTTGGAGCTGAAAACAATGCTGGAAACAAATCAGAGGGGGCTGTTTAAAATGAGACGAGGCACACTCTTTAAAAGCCGCTGGATGATGAGCGACTGGTGGGCGCAACTTCCATGCCTGAGAAGAAAGCCCAGCCCGATGCACCTCGAACCTCTTGCTCAACTTGCGTGCAGTTCAGAACAGGCACTCCAGCAGCTGCTGCAGGACATAGTTGCCGTAAGGGTGTCTGGACCTGACTCGAGAACGCCATGAGCACGATGAAAGACAGTCACCGTGCAAGAAGTATGGTGCTCTCGTCAGCATTTCATGACGGTTCTATGATGTGACTAACCCGCGCCCGAAAACAATCAGACACCGCAGGGCTGGACCAGCCCCATGCCCATGCCCCCCATTCATTCCCACCCTACTTTGTTGTGCTGCACATGGAAAATAGCATGTGTTAGAAGGGCGGCATTGCTCGCCAGGGTGTTGCAGTGCACTCCGTGGAATGAAACCAAGACAGCGGCCCTAAATGCACGTCCACAGCCCTCTACATCCAGTTGGAGGTGGTCTTCTCCCGTGTGCTATCCAAGTAACAGCGGCACGACCTCTGCCAGCATTGCCTCGGTCTACAGGCCGAATGCCAGGAAAGCGCTCTCCGTCTATGCCTGCGTGCCCCTTCCATTGCACGAGATCCCGAATCTCGACACTTCTCACTTCTCCCGGTAGCTGTCCCCAGCACCAGTATATCCGCCGAGGCTACAGGCCCAGCCGTCCTGGAGGTTAGCTCAGATACCCTCCACCTAATTAATCCTTTTCCCTGTATGTAGGGAGTTTGGACAACCGCTTTCTGCGTTCATTTCCCACCCCCTTCATTTTACCTGCTTGTCCACCCCCCCTGCAGCCACCCCACCGCTTCCCCCCCTGCCGCCCGGAGTCGGAGCCGAGGCGAACCTTGTTGCGTTACAATTACGATGCCCCCTTCTCTCCAAGCAGCAGGCATGCTTGTAGAATCGCTGTCCTCTTAGTTGCAGTAGCAACAAGGGCGGTGGGAGCAAGCCAGCCACAAGAATCTTTCGCCCGTGCTCAAAAACCAGATTGACAAGCAAGGGCAAGTCCGATCATGGCTAGGCCATGCCTCTTGGACAAAGCCTGAGCTGATGATTTCCTGGCTCTCTACTGCCCTGTAACCTGATCCGTGAACTGAGACATTCTCTACATTGGTGGGGACACTTTGACACATGAAGCACTACATGCGCTGGCCCATAATGTGGCCCAATACCACCCCCGCAGAGGCAATGCCGTGCATGGCTCAATGACTCAAGCCGCCTCGGCCAGCGGTGCCGTCTGCACATGGTTGCAGTGCTCCAGAAGGCGCTGCAGAGTCCGGCAGCCGTACTTATGCCTCTTCGAGCATGGGTTTCGTGTCGTGGCTTTCTGTTTCCAAGAGGCCTTAACCGTGGCGTCCCTTCTCGTTCTTCACTCTGCTTCAATTCAAAAGCCCATGAACCTTGAAACCGCCAGAAACTGAGGGGCCTCCTCCCAGTTGCCACATGCCAGGGGCATCATTATGAAATACCAAAAGGCCTCGAATGGACGCCCACGAATCCCGCCAACCCCAACAAGCCCGGCCTGCCAATTTTGTGTTTAAGCCCCGCTCGTGCTGTTACATGAGTGCCTGGCCTCGCCAGATAGCAAATGCTTTTCGGACCGGGCCGCAGTATCTCATCAATGATGAACCTCAGATCTCCAGTTGCCACCGGCCGAAGAGCCGACCGACCGGCAAGGTCCAAGGTGTCTGGCTTGTTTCGGGCATTCGGGCTCAACCAGGCTCCAGAAGTCAAAGAGCGAAACTTCCGAAAGGCTACTCAAACGCTGCCCTGGCCTAGATTCCCAGATGTCATGCGTGTCACAAAGCAAGTCTGTGCGGTAGAGTCTCGCCACGCTTCCATGATACATGGTGGCTCTCGGGCTTTCCAAACGTCTACACGTCATCACGAGAAGGGTGCAATCTTCCACCACCACTCGCGGTGGTTTGTTGCAGCATGCGGAGCTTCCAAACATGCTAAACCCGGGCCCTTGGTGATCTTGAACCACTGAAGCAGAGTCTAAGCACAGAGTGATGACGACGAAGTAACACCAACGAACCTTGTCAAGCCACTGGCAAGCTCCAGGCCGCAATGCAACAATCAGGCGCTGCACGACGAAGTTGGCATGGGGACAGCGCACTGCCTGCAAATGGAATGCACTGCGATCACGACCAGGACTATCGGGTTTGGGTCTGGGGGTAGCACAGACCGGGCAATTCATCCGGCGCGAAGCAAGAGTCGGCAAGTGGGGGTCATTCGCTGAGATTTCTGACATTATCCTGCCGGCTTTGGGCTACATGGCAATACATGGCAGCACATGGCTTCAGGCCACGGCCTGCACAACGTGCACTGTTGGCACATGAACTCGACGCTTCTACTAATTTGGAGGCGGACAGAGCCGAGGCTTCGATCTGGCCTGTGGCTTTCGTTTCGCTATCCTTTGTGCCTTTATCCCGAACACCGGTGTCTGCGACACCCTGGTACATTTCGATGCCTCAACAATGAAGATGTGGACAGCGTCAACCCGTCTGCACCCCAAGCTGGTCGATAAGAAAGGCAAAGTGTTGGGCCTGCTCCCGCATTGACTTACCTTTGTCTGAAGCACCGCCGTGCCCGGCATGGAAGTCTACCTTCAGAAGCACCGGGTTTGCATCTGTTTTCAGCCGGCGCAGCTTGCTCACGAACTTCAGTGGCTCCCAGTAGCCCACCATCGTGTCGTTCTGTGAAGCAGTCACCAACGCTGCCGGGTAGTCCTGCATCCGGATGTTGTCGTACGGGCTGTACTCCAACATATAGTAGAAAACGTCGCGCTGATTTGGGTTACCCAGTTCCTCCCACTCGCCACAAGTCAAGGGAATTGACGGGTCGCTCATGGTGTTGACTGCATCGACAAAGGGGACGTACAGCAGAACTGCCTTAA